AACCCTCAAGAAGAACAAAGAAGCCGAGGGCCCCCATTAAGTTGATAAGGGCCCGAAGGTCTTGGGGGCCCCTGAAGTCGAAGGTGAAGGGGGCAGTTGCGTGGGCTGCGCAGAAACCCTAAACCCTAAACCCTAAACCCTAAACCCTAAACCCTAAACCCTGAAGCCCAGGGGGAGCAGGCCGGGGTGAGGGAGGCGCAGATGCGAGGGGAAGGAGAGGGGGAGACTTGAGAGGAGGGGGCAATGAGCAGCTTCTTCGACGCGTCTAGGGTTTAGGGTTTAGGGTTTAGGGTTTAGGGTTTAGGGTTTAGGGTTTAGGGTTTAGGGTTACCGCTCCAGGACAAAGAAAGCTTGATGGCATTAAACCCTCCTTCTTTTGCTGCCTTCAAAATGCGGCGGATTTGAACGGGCGAAAAAGATGAAGAAGGCAGGGGCAGGCCTACACGCAAACCCTAAACCCTAAACCCTAAACCCTAAACCCTAAACCCTAAACCCTAAACCCTAATTACTAAACGCTGGGTGGCGGACCCAAACGAAGTTCCTCAAACCCTAAACCCCAAACACTAAACCCTCACTCTCCAGGGTCTGTCCCAAGCTGTCTACTACTGCCGCATCTAAGAACTAGGGTTTAGGGTTTAGGGTTTAGGGTTTAGGGTTTAGGGTTTACCTGCAGCAATGATGAGAGTGGGCTCGTCATTAATGCAAAGATGGGGGCCACAGAAGCGAGCGGAATAGGGAAGACCATTCAAGCTCTTAAACCACCGAAAGCTGTTGCTGCTGCTGCTGCTGCTGCTGCAGCTGCTGCTGCTGCTGCTGCTGCTGCTGTTATTGCTGCTGCTGCTGCTATCTGTGCTGCTGGTGGCTGCGTTCTTCTTGTTGCTGCTGCTGCTGTTGCTGTCGCTGCTGCTGTTCTTAACTTCATGTGGGCGAGCCTGCTGCTGCAGCTCTTGCTGCTGCAGCACTTGCTGCTGCAGCACTTGCTGCTGCAGCTCTTGCTGCTGCTGCTGCTGCTGCTGCTGCTGCTGCTGCTGCTGCTCATTCTGATGATGATGAGGGTACACTTTTAAGGACCCCTTCCATACAAGTAGAGGCTCAGCTGCTGCTGCAGCATCTTGCTGCAGCAGTTTGCTGCTGCTGCTGCTGTCGCTGCTGCTGCACACGCTGCTGCTGCTGCTGCTCGCTCGTGCTGCTGCAGCAAACAGCAGCAGCAGCAGCAGCAGAATAGGAACTCGAGGCGAGGGCATGAGGTTCTTGTGAAGCGGCAGCAGCTGCAGCAGCAGCTGCTGCTGCTGCTGCTGCTGCCGCTGCTGCTGCTGGTTCTGCTGCTCTGTTGGTGGATGTTTGCTGCTGTTGCTGTCTTTGCTGCTGTTGCTGTCACTGTCGTTGCCCCTGGTGTTGCTGCTGCTGCTGCTGCTGCTGCTGTTCTGGCCGCTGCTGCTGCTGCTGCTGCTGCTGCTGCTGCAGTCGCCGCTGCTGTTACAGCTGCCAATGCCTTTGCTTTAGTGTTATTTGGTATTCTTTGCCAGAGTTTGGAGCTGAGGGTTTGGGATTTAGGGTTTAGGGTTTAGGGTTTAGGGTTTAGGGTTTAGGGTTTAGGGTTTAGGGTTTGATGGGGGCCCCGGGGGCCCTCCTAGCTACAGCAACTGGTGAAGGCGCGAGGCGCAAAGTTGGTGTGTGTATTCTTTTAGGGTTTAGGGTTTAGGGTTTAGAGTTGAGAGTGGAATATTTAGGGTTTAGGGTTTAGGGTTTAGGGTTTCGACAGCCCCCAGTGGTGTGTCTCGAGTGGACCGCCGCTGCTGCCGATCGCTGTCTTTGAGCTAGGGTTTAGGGTTTAGGGTTTAGGGTTTAGGGTTTAGGGTTTCAGCTCCAGGGTTTAAAACTAGTGGATGCTTCTTAAGACTTAAAGTGTAGGGTTTAGAATAAGGGTTTAGGGTTTAGGGTTTAGGGTTTAGGGTTTTCCGTCGTGCTCTGTCGGCGTCTCCACCCATGACACAAACCCCCGAAACTTCAATTAAATTAAATTAAATTAAATTAAATTAAATTAATTTATTTTATTTTATTTTATTTTATTTTATTTTAATTTAATTTAATTTAATTTAATTTAATCAAATCAAATCAAGCTGAGTCGAAAATAAACAAATACTGCAGCTTTTTCTACTTTTTTTGATGTCGCTCCGCAGCATCCTGTCTAAACCCTAAACCCTAAACCCTAAACCCTAAACCCTAAACCCTAAACCATAAACCATAAACCCTAATCTCTACTTATCCGCCGCCAGAACTTCAACTAACTGCGCTGCTCTAGACGTGCCTATAGTGCAGTTCTCTTATCTAGTGTTTAGTGTTTAGGGTTTAGGGTTTAGGGTTTAGGGTTTAGGGTTTAAGGCCTAGGGTTTTGTACCCAGGGTTTAGGGCGAGCCTAATTGTGAGTTTCAGGGCTTGTGAAGGTTCATGGTTTTGCCTCTATTGTTTTGAAACCAGCATTTAGGGTTCAGGGTTTAGG